CGGAAGTGGTTTGCCAGAACCTCCTTCCTAGAGCAGAGCCCAGCTGGCGAACGCAGGAGGCGGGGTTTCTGTTGTTTCACGCCCTTTTCGGGCGCGCACGGTTTTTCGTGCTTACTGGCAACTGCTCCTGACTCCTTTTGCAAGGCGCCGCCAGCATTTTTCCTCCCACCAGAGTGAGAGTACCCATTTATCTACTCACGTAAGTTTTCGAACTGTTGGGTTGACAGGATTATGCAGTATGGTGCTGAGCAAAATGAGAGTTAAGCAATACACAGCTCAAATGGGACTTTAACAGAAGTCTGAAAACCAAATATTTCTTCCAAAATGTTTTTGCATTATGAAAAGGTTCTGGTGTCCAATAGTTCCTGACATCTCCAAAAGGAGCTGGAAAAGAGAATGAATGAATGAATGAATTTATTTATTTATTTATTTATTTATTTATTTATTTATTTATTTATTTTTCAAGTTTGTCACCACCCATCTCACTGTGAGGTGACAGTTGTTTGAAAGGTTCTAAAATTGCCACTTGTAAGTATACCATCCCTAATCTGGTGTCTTCCAGATGTGTTGGGAATATAACTCTCAGATTTCTGGAAGTTGTAAACCCAATTTATTTAAAAGGCACCATGTTGGAGAAAACTGGAGTAAGCAATACCGAATTAGATGAAAGGCAACTTGTAATGTTCTTTGTTTTTTTACTGTGCCTGGCTTTTCCCAGTCATGTTATCTCCAGTTTTCTCTCAAACTGTTACACATATCTAAAAATAGCATTAGTATTTTTATTTGGGAAGCACTTATACCTAAGCTTGGTATGAACATACATACAGTACTGTGCAAATGTTTTAGGCAGGTGTGAAAAAATGCTGTAAAGTAAGATTGATGCTGGTCTGAAGCCAAAGGGTAGTCACACCAAATATTGATTTGATTTAGATTTTTCTTCTGTTTGCTCACTTCGCATTTTGTAAACTGATAAACATAATTACAATATATATTTTTGAAAGCATTCTTA